TATAGATTAAGAAATTAATTCAATCTATAATCATAAATTAATATAGATTAAGAAATTAATTCAATCTATAATCATAAATTAATATAGATTAAAAAATTAATTCAATTTATAATTATGAATAGGGGTGTAGGACGCATAGATAAATAAGAAATTAAAAAATCTAATTACATCAAAAATATTTTCTCATAACTACTTAATCCAATTTTGAATAGAATTTGATATCTTATATATCAAGAAGATAAAAAAAGATTAAAATTAAGGCCAAATCCCCTATTTGCACCTTTTTTTTTTTTTTTGTCAACATCTTTCATAATTTTTACTTCTGATCAACACCTTTCATAATAAATTGCCAATAAAATTAGGGTACAAATAGGGAGTTTAACCATTATTTTTGAGTTTTTTTATGAATTTTAAATTATGGAGAGTGTTGACCGAAAGTAAAAATTCTTAAGGGTATTATTGACTATAAGTGCTGACATTGTTTTTTTATGGAAAAGTTATCAACAGATCATATTAATATGGTTTTTGAAGTTTTTTTTTTTTTTAATAAAGTATAAGATAGTAGACTAGTTTGATATTACAATTTAAGTGCATTGCACAAAATCTAAAAATGAAAAATGAAAAAAAAAAACCTAAAAAGAACTTATATTTAAAGAAGCCCAAACTCATAACAAGTCTTAGTCTGTGCTATTATGCCAAAGATGTAATTGGAAATTTTTTAAGCTATTAAACCACTTTCTAAATTAAATTATTAGAAAATCTATAGTTTTTTTTTTTTTTCATTTTATTTTAAGTTGCATAGAATGTACAATTATAGTATTTGAACTCAGAACCTTTTACTTATTACTAGTAAGTAAATTTGATCATTAGCAAAGTCAAAAGTTAAATTTAATGCTTAGGAATGTTAGCTTTATATAGTATGGTTGTGATTTAAAATTTTTGCTTTATTTTAAAAAATTTTAAACCCTAAAATAAAATTTACAAGTTTTCAATTTTAGATATTAGTTCTAAAAGTTTATAGTGAATATAATTTTCACATTTTTAATTTTGATTTTCAATTTAAATCTTAACAACCAAAATCAAAAATGAAAAATTCAATCATAATAAAGAAAGTCTAAAAGCAAAAAAAAAAAAAAAACAATCTTATTAGTAAAATTCATTTTAATGGTTATAAAAGAAAAAAAAAAAAACCAACAACACTAGCATTTCTTTTCTAACTAAACAAAGGAACTAGATTTATTGTTTGAATTGTACTATAATATAAAATGGGGATTATTATTGGATGAAGGAGGCCACTCAATGTTAAGGGGCTAAACTCTACGGTTAGCGTTGCGTAATTTGGTATAGTCTGGATTGCACAACACTTTTTTTCATAAATAAAATCATTTGCCTAAGGATTTAAAGCTCTGTAAGTCAAGGTATTATAATTCAATTAAATAAGTTATAA